GGTTATGCGCATGAGACGGAGTCCTGTTCACAAGGTCTTTGAGGCGCATAGTAGACTCTGTCTGTCAGACACCTGTTGCATAGCAACTAGTGCGCATACAAGACTAAACACACACAGGGCAGTGCAGTGCATTACAGATTGTTCCAAGCCAGATTAATATGTTTGCATGGAGGCTCGTGAAATGGAATCCTCGATCATGAACAAGCACTGCCAGCAAATTGCTCAGCAAAACCGGAAGTTCACTGCAGAGGCGTGGATGTAAACATAAACCAACCAAGCAGCTAAGCTAGCTAACTTAGCTAACTTACTAATTAACTGGTTTAGGCCGGTCTATATAAAGCCAAGCTTTCTGGTGAGTTGTCAGGCCTGCAAGGTTTTCGAAGACGACAAGACCAGGCTCACAGCAGTGAAACCGCTCCAGGGTAACTTTGCTCGCGAACTTGGCTTGGAGTTCATCTTCCAGGACTACATTGACCAGCAGAACACCATGGTGGCGGAGGGAGAGACTGGAGTAATACCATGTCCAGCAAGCATCGCAGACCCAGAAACCTTTCTCAAGTGGCTGAAGACAAACGAAGAGATGAAGGGTGTGCCGGATCAGCATGAAATGCTGTATGAAAAGTTCTCCTCGGCTTACTTGTGCTCTTTCAAACAAGGTGCTGTCACCAACAATGTCCCTGTTGGTGGTGTTGGCTATGTTCAATATCAGGCAGAGGGGAGTCGCATTATGGCCACTGTTTGCGCATCAGAAGCTATTGAACTGTTTGGAGGTGACCTTCAGGACAGAGACTGGAACTGGAACTGTTTGGAACTGGGGAAGTTAGTTCAGAGAAAGATGTGGTTTAGCTCTAAAGTCAGAAAGGTCAAACTGTGATTGATTGATTGTGACTATGACTGACTATACTTATCTTTTACTCTCTTCAGGACGTGCTCAGTGGCTTTGCCGAGATCACTCCCGAAGATGTAGCAATTTTGGAGAAGCTCCCATCGTTGAGGACCGTGTGCACACTTCCAGGAGATGTTGTCATCCTACCGCCTGGACTGCTTACAATCGAGAAGATATTGAATTCGCATTCCATGGTCATTAGAGCCCCGACGCACCTGGTCCATGTGAACCGCCAAGATGCTTATGACAAGCTGACCTACAAGGCAAATGCGACCCTTGTATTGTTTGGGCATTGTTGAAATTTTGCTTTGTCACCCATTCCTGGTTTGAAACAAACAAGGAGGCTTTATGTGTGAGTTAATTTACTGCTCACTGCTTAAGGAACCCCACGAACAAGTTCATGATGGAATACGGCAGGAGCATGATCAGCAAATATGGTTGGTCAAGGGAAACCATTGAGGAGGCCCTCCAGAAATTGATGCAAGAAGAAGAACAAGAACAGGAGCACCCTCCGGAGCCAGAGAAGAAGGAAGGCTTGCCCCAAGTACCAGCCGATACCCGGTCAGCTGAAGCAGCCCAGGCAGCAGCAGCCACGCCTGCGCCACCAGATGCCCCTCCTGTCAAGCCAAGTGTGCCCATGCAGCCTTCGGAAGCAGCCCAGGCAGTACCCATGCAGCCTTCGGAAGCTGCACCCACCCAGGTACATGAAGCAGCCCAGGCAGCAGCAGCCACGCCTGCACCACCAGATGCCCCTCCTGTCAAGCCAAGTGTGCCCATGCAGCCTTCGGAAGCAGCCCAGGCAGTACCCACGCAGCCTTCGGAAGCTGCACCCACCCAGGTACATGAAGCAGCCCAGGCAGTACCCATGCAGGCTGCACCCGCCCAGGTAGAGGATGCAGCCCCGGCAGCAGCAGCCATGCCTGCGCCAAATGCCCCTCCTGCCAAGCCAATGCAGCCTTTGGAAACTGCAGCCACCCAGATAGATGAAGCTGAAGCAGCAGCTGAGGCAACATCATCAGCCATGCCTGCGCCAGCGGTTGCCCCTCCCGCTCCCGCTGAGCCAAGCATGCCAGCTGAGCCAAAAGCCCATCCACCAGCTGCCCAGGCCGCCAAGGAGAATGAAGAGGCCGCCAAGGAGAATGAAGAGGCCGCCAAGGAGAATGAAGACAAGAAAGATAAGAAACACAAGGAGAAACATGACAATGACAAGAAAGAGAAGAAACACAAGCATGACAAGCATGACAAGCAAGAGAAGAAAGAGAAAAAAGAGAAGAAAGAGAAGAAAGAGAAGAACAAGGATAAGGTTGATGACCCGGATAAGACAAACCAAAAAAGACAAAAGCCACTGATCGGAGATGATGCAGATGGCAAGGGTGAATCGGGTGAATCAAGGGAGACCAAGAGATCAAGAGCTGAGGCTGAGGCTGAGGCTCTGAAATCTCTTGCAGAAGTTCAGACGAGAAAAGACGAATACATGCAACAGCTGCTTGCTCGGTTCAACCAGGACTTGAAGAGTGCTGGTCTAGTCAAAGGTAGAGGTCAGACTCAAAGGCTGACTGAGAGTACCGACGATCTTGACCGAATGCTTGAAGTTGCAGAGGAGACCATTAGGGCCGAGTTTGACTTCCAATCACCACCAGACAGCCCCCAGGAGGATGATATTGCGGACAAAGAAGATGTCCACCCAATATCAGCCTACAAGATCACCACCAACATGCTTTTGGAGCAGTTGATGGAGCTATATGAACAGAAGCAGCCTCCCAAAGCACCAGCCCGAGCAAAGTCCAAAGCAAAAGCTCAAGCCAAGTCCTCCGCGAAGCGGGTTGCTGAGAAGACGCCCCAGGCAAGGTCTTCTAAGGCTAGGAGCAATACTCATCCAGCAAGCGCTGCAATTCCAGAGACTCCAAACAAACTGGAGCGACCAGCACCTTCAACCGGGAAGGGCAAAGGGCACGCGAGGAAAAGCAGCAAGGCGCAGTTGGAATGCGTCACCGCATTTCTCCAGAAGGTGGACACCAAGGCTGCCACTGCCAGCCTGCCTAGCGATGCACAGCCAGGTGATATCCAGTGAAGCTTGAAAACCTTCAAGCTAGAGCTAGGCCACTGGTGTTGTGGTAGCCAATTGTCTGGCCCTTGGTCTCCCGGGAGTTCTTGAAACATCTTTGTATGACACTATATCATAATTTATGTGTGGTTTGGTTTTGTTTTGTTTCCGTTGGTTATTAAACCTTCGAATTGGAGGCCCAAAGAAAGCTGAGCCAGACTGACACCACTCCACCTGACCCAATCCCGAGGCTTTTAGGTACAAGGTTGAGGTTAGATTAGATTGAACATACCAAGTTCCTGATGCACAATTCGTAGCAAATGGTGTCTGGGGAAGGCAGTGCAGGGAAGGTAGCTGGTACTACGGTAGTCCTGCAACCTCTCAGTGAACCTATTTGGAAACATTCACTTTGCAGCAGGTTTTATTTTTGTTTTGATTACCTTCCATGTCTGCAGCACAGCTGAAGGACAGGCACTCACAGAGCACTTGAGGTTTGAATGCTCTGACGTAGTGTGTAGGGGGAAAAGACTGCTGAACGGCGGAGTAGCGGATTCTGGACTGGACTGTTCACTGTTCACTGTTGGCTATGTGGCTATATGGCTATATGTGATCTGTGTTTTGAGCTAGGTCTGTTTCATTTGTCTTTGTGAGTGCGTCTTTGTCTGAGTGTGTGATTTGTGCACTGGATTGCAGCAGCATTCACTCAATCAGTGAGACTTAGTAGTATCTTAGGCAATAGTCAAGGATAGCAGCAAACAAACCCGACTGCAGAGCTTCCTGGCTGCTTCATGGCATGGAGCTTGATTTTGTGGCATTTTGCTGCATGCTGCTGCTTGCTGGTGTGCTCATTGGTGCTTCTACAGCTACTTGCGTCAGGTCTTCCCTGAGTTCCAAACCCTTGAGCAGTGATGAAGGCAGTCCGAAAAGCAGTTTGACTTCAAACCCTGTCCATCAGGGAAAGGGCAAGTTGAAAGCAGCTGACCCTGCAAGGGTTATTTATGTTAATTCAAGTTCCAAGATTGTTCACAAAAGGCACAATTGCTCTGGCATGGGCAAAGATGTGCCCATGCAAGCGGTGCTGTGTAAGAAATGCTTTCCAATGGGGACCGGGTCAAGTGTGGATTAAGCTTGTACAGCAGCACACCCGAGTCAGTGCTTGATGTGGTCTTGGTGGCTTGGGCTTAGTGCCCATTGACGGCATGCTGCATTCTGGTGGAGAAAACGATTTATTGATGTCCAGTTTCTGCTCACAGTGCTGTAGCCAGGTTTTCCTGTGACCTTAATTGCACCCACCCACCCTTAATAAAGAAATCCCACAAGCCGTCACGCCCGGGCACGTCACGTCGACGATCAACGACAACATACGACGCCGACGAAGTGGGCAGCGGTGTCGCCGGGTTCGCACCCGCTGCCCTGGGCGGCGGTTCAAAGACGCGATCGAAAAAGGTGGCCCCCCCCCCACGAGCTCCTAGTAGCGTCCTTGCTCCTAGTAGCGACGCCCTTTCTTACTAGTAGCTTCTTGCTCCTAGTAGTAAGGCCAGGAGCCCCGAACGTAGCGTCCGATCGCTCCTAGAAAGGAAACAAGAAGGGAACACGGGGTTTTGGGGCGTCTATTGGACTCATGTCATGAAAACCTGACAAGCAAATCTGCATTTTTCATTTCACCGAGTGGACTCATGGTGAAATCAATCATTTTTTAGTTAGAGTGCCTGGCCACCTTGCCATTTCTCGGTTTGCTTTCCCAGTGGCGAATGATGTTTCGCAGCACCTGTGCTGAGGGAGTGATGTAAAAGGCAAAGCCCTATCAAATGCTTTGAGCGTCTTCACGAACTCGGTCTGACTTGTGGCTGCACCACAATCCATTTGCACTTCTCCCAATTCCAGACACTGATTTGAAGTCCGACATGTGCAAATGCTGAGCGCAGAGTCTCTGTGACGCACGGACAGAGACCCCGACTGATTGAGCGAAGGACAGAGCAGTGGAGGGACGATGGAGGACAGATCAGTGGAGGGCAGATCATCCCGGTTCCAGCAATTTGGTTTTGCGTGTTTCGGACGCAAAATCTTCAGGTACCAGTGACTCAAGTGCAAGAAACCGAGCGAGTCGAGCATGTGCCGGTCATGGTGCCTTGGCTGAAATGGAAAGATCAGAACCACGGTGAGACTCAGTGGTGAAGGGAGAGTCGGGAGTGGATATGACCAGCAAAAGCTGGAGGATTCCTGAGATACGATGGATCCAAGTGAATGGACCTACAACCATCTACAACCCACAACCCAAAACCATGGCGTGACAGAACACGTTTTCTCGTACACTGCCAGTGAACTTGGCCTCGGCATTTTCGTAGCTTGGCCTCCATCGGACGGTTAGATGCCACGACCGGCTCGTTGCTGCACTTGACCCGGCACGATTTCTCACACCTTCGGTTTCGCGGAAAAAAAAAACCGGCGGTGTAAACACCAGAATCCGCGCTGTGAAACAGCTGAGGTGCCCAAAGGCTGGCAGCCGCCCAACTTGGAGGTGGGACACGGAGGTCAAAGCGGACGCATCTCCACGGCTGGAGAGATGGATCCGCTTTTTGTGACTTCATGGTACTTCTAACCACCGGACATGTTGTCCGCTTGTCACTGGATGGGCTGGACTCGAGGCCATGGGCATGAGCAAATCACCTGCGGCGAAAAGCTGAGGAGATGGAGAATGGAGGGTGAAGCACTAGGAGAGGACACTGGTCAGACCAAGTATTCGATTCTTTTTCGGTTTTCACACTGCAAACATGTGCCTTCCAGAGATTTTAGACGGTACAAGTAGGGATTTCTGGGTTGCATGTGCCCCTAAAACATGCTGTGTTCAGTTGCTGCTCAGTTGCGATTTGTAGCTGTCACTTGTCAGTCCAAAGTCTCGACTTGATTGAGGATTCGGCATGCTGCATGCTTTCATGTGCTTGTTTGAGGCACTTCCTGGACAACCTGCGCAGATGGTGGTGACTTAAACGGACGCTCGGACAGCTGCCAGACGACTTGAAGGAAACAGGAGGGAGTCCAGGAGCTTCGCCCTATTGTTTTTTGGGCTCCTTCTTTTTTGTTCGCATCTCAAACAGACATGATGGCATTCGTTCTTTTTGTTTGGGAGGGTGTTGCGGGGTGATGTTTGTACCAGTCATGTCACCGTTTTTGATATGTAAGCACGTGAACTTGCCAGAGAGAGCACAACAAGTGGGAACGGACTTTTGCAACACAAGTGGTTTTGATGCGCTTCATGCAGAGAACATGTGTGCAGAATGTGTGTAGAGTGCAGCGTTGTGGGATAGCAACCATTTCCCTGCTGCATCACTTGTTACTCATTCTTGACAGTGCTCTTGCCTGTTGTTCTCGCATAAATGTACTTGTGACAGTCTGGAATGCGGGCAACATCAGCGTCCAGATGTTTTCCTTGGATATGACGACCTTGTACAAAGCACTTCTTGAAGACTGCAACTGCCATCAACAGGAAGAGCAACATGAGGTGCCCAGCGCACAGATTCAAATCAGCACTGATAGCCATGATAAACAGCCAGGTGCAGCCGGTGCAAAGCAAAAACCACTTCATCATCACTTCATCCTTGAACACACTCTTCAAACTGTGACCTCTTACTGCTCAATGTAGATCTCATTTGGAAAACTAAATCTGTTACATAAAGCCCCGCCCCGTATGAAGAGTCTGTTCAATCCAACTGGGGTGGGGTGCTTGATTCGTCCACATTCTACATGACTACCTGACTCTACCATACGAACTCAAGCAACGCGTCCTCGGCCTTTGTCCGAACGTGAGGCGTGAGTCTGAGTGAGTTAGTGAGTCTGAACACCAACCGGTCGGTGGAGTCCGGTGCAAAGAGAGCAAATTCTCATTCTTTGTTTTATTACTAGAAACAAGAAGCTACTAGCTAGGGGCTCCTGGCATCGCTACGAACGGAGCTTTAGCTTTTCTCGATGCGTTTGACCTGAGAAGCTGTCCGACTCTAAGAACTCGAAGATCTCGACACAAGACTCTTCTCAGACTCCTGTCAAACTCTAAGACTCGTGATTTCGTGAACGTCCAAGACGGTGTGTGACCCGTGTGTGACCGATGTCACGTCGTTTCACCCGATGTTGCCTGATCCAAGGCAGGTCGCAGGACCGGATCATGTGTGTAAAAGCGCAACAGGTGAACGACTGTGGCAGTCCACAGGTGAACGAGGTTCTTAGAGATGCTTGTTTTCTCCTTCTTTTGCATGTCCCAGCTTTGAGGTGCTGATTTCTGCTCCCATTTTGCCGATTCGTTTGAAGATCTCGAGTGGCAAACCATGAACACGGCCCGAAGACCATCTTGGCATCCTCAGCTGTAAAGCCTCAAATTACACCAGCAGTGCATATGGGCAAGCGAATAACATGAAGCAAACTCATGCAAGCTCTATTAGCTTTTGCTTCTTGCAAACATGCTTTTTGGACACAAACCACGGGGGCAATCTGTGACCCTAGGCATAAATGAGCCTGCTCGCTTTTTGCTTTGCACAGGGACAGAGACCAGGGTCAGATCAAAGGCATCATATGAAGCATTCCTCGGCGGGCATAACGGGGGATTTCAAGAAGGCACGGTTTCCAAAGCTCTATTCATCAACACAAGCTGCCACCCTGATCAATGAAGCCATGCCACAGAATCACCTCCAACAACTAGCTCTTGTGCGTGTGCGTGTGCGTGCGTGCGCGCTTGTCGTCCCAATGATGCAATGTCAAGATGGAGGCCAGGAGAGGTGCATGCCCCCCAATTTGTGCCTTTCTTGGTGTATTTTGTCAGAGATCCGGTGCTAGGATCAAGTGTTTGTGACTTCCTCCTGGGCGCTTCCGCTCATGCCAAAATGACTCCCCTCCACATGTCACCTGCACCTTCGGTGTTTGACACAGAAAGCTCATCAGGCCAAACACTCATGGCTTCGGACGCCCTTTGGTGATGGCTATCGAATCTCTGCCCAGGCATCTTGGCCTCACCCGGAAAGTAATTTGAGATTGATGCAGCATTCATGTAGAGACTAGATGTGGAGAACAGCGGCCGTCAAAGAGTGCCATTGAACGTGTTGAAAGTGCTTGACATCCACATCCCGACACAGCCCAAAGGATTGGATAGTTGATTGTGGAAGTCAAGGTTTCTAGGCTGTTGAATCCTTCGTTTACCGCAGACTCGGACCAAGTCGAGAATTGCAATCGTCTCTCGTGGTCTCGTCTCTCCGAGAGAGCTTTTTCTCCGGGGGGCCGCTGCATGCTCATTACGCCTGAGAGTTTTGAGTATGTCGGGGGCCGCTGCAAGCTCATCTCTGGCCAGCCGGTAAGCCTTTTGAAAGGTGATATTGTGGTAGCACAAACCTACAAGAGAATGCAGCTGCAAAAACAAGGCGCATTTGAGAAGTCTCAGGCGCATTTGAGAAGCCAACAACAGGAGGAACAAAGGAACAAGATCCGTTGTTTTTTGAAGAAGCACCACTTCGACCAAACTGATGTGAATGCAGGACACCAGAAGACTGCTTGCCTCGGCCTGCTCCATTCGCACCAGCAACCCTTGCACCAGGCAGCGAAGGACCAGAACTCAGAGATGATCCTTCTGCTTCTTCAATACGGAGCCGATCCCACCAGCAAAGACAGTAAAGGAAAAAACGTCTATGACTATGTGAAATCATCCAGTTTCCGAAACCGCATGAACGGGGTGCATTCCACGGTCCGGGCCAAAGGCCCATCGAGGCTATTCTGAGGGGTGCAGTGCAGGGGTGCTATGATGGATTTACATATCCACCAGGTCCTTTGCGTTGTATATTCCTCAAGTTGAACCCGTCATCTAGCAGGAGTTGTGTGGCTTGAAAGAACTTGATTATGTTTTCGGATCCTCTAAAAAGGTGCCGAGAAGCCTGTACCCTGAGTTTGGCAGAGTGCATTGTCACCGCTCAGGGTGAGAATACATATGTATATATATATATATTTATAGGAAAGCTAGAGTGTCAGCCAAAGGTCTTGGAACCCAAATAATAAACTTTTTAGCAGGACCTGTCAGAAGGTAGGATTGAGGACAAGCAGGACAGACACTGGGAAGGTGACTTAGGATCAGGGTAGCATTGTGAGAGGTTGAACAGCTTGTTTTTCTAAGCAGATCCTGATAGATCCTGCCATTGATTTTTTTCGCTGTGGCCAGAGCTCAGTTGTAGCAGAATGTGACAACTGCGGTCCTGGTGTTTCGGCAGGGAGTTTTCCAAGAGCTTCGGGTCAGGGTCCATCTGAACGAAACATACACCTGTTCAAAACATTTTCACAGATTTGGTGGCCGACAGGATTCAATGCAAGACATGAATGTATGCACATGTATATAATCAAATGTATCAATATATGTGAACTGTTCATTCTGTTGAGTTTGTTGATTGGCCATTGCTGTCCTTTCGGAACAGGTTTGTATGTCTTG